GGGGGCGGGAGAGAGGGGGGGCGGAGCGGGGGCCGCGCTCAGCCGGGGCCGCCGCCGTCTGCGGAGGGGCCCGGGCGGCGCGGGGGCTGCGGAACGAGGAGTTCACAGGTGAGGAGGGACGCGCGAGGAGGAGGAGGAGGAGGAGGAGGAGGGAAAGGAGGAGGAGGAGGAAGAGAAGGAGGAAGAGGAGGCGGCGGTGGCGGAGTTGCGGCTGCCGCGCCGCCGTCCCGGGGGAGGGGACGCGGAGCGGCTCCGGGAGCTGCGCTTTAAAACCTCCCCCCCCCGCCCCCCCTCCCCCGCTCTGGGGGAGCGCACGGGCGCGCGCGCCGCCCCCCTCACGGACCGGGACCCCCGGGACCGGGACCCCTCAACTCTGTCCCGATATCCCCGGGATCGGCCCCCGCGCTCCCTGGGCCGGGGGGCTGCGGCGCTGCCCCGGGGGGCGGCAGGCACAAGTCCGGGAGGAGGAAGGGGCCCGGCGGGGCCGCGGAAAGTTGAGAGGGGGCCGGGGCGGGTGGGGGCCGGCGGCCCCTGAGCCCCGCGGAGCAAATGGCGACGTGACACACACCGAGCGCGGGGCCGCCCGGCGGGAAGCGGCGGCCGCGCTCCCTCGGCGCGGCCGGGACGGGCGGCGGCTCCTTCCCTCCGTCCCTCCCTCCGCCTTCCCCGGGCTCCCCCCGCCGCCCCTCGCGGGGAGCCCCGCGCTCAGCCTTCAGCCTCCCCCGCTCTTGTTTTGCAGTGTTTCCCGTGCGAGGAGAAGTCCTGGAGCTGGAATCGCTCACATAACCCTTAAAGATGAAGGTAGGCGGCTCCGGCGGGAGCGGGGATCGCCGCCCTGTTCGCCCGCCGCTCTGGAGATTTCATTTTTAATCGCTCTCGGTCTGGGCACGGCAGCAGTGCGAGAACGCGGGGTTCGGTGCGTGCTGTGAGTGCTGTTCCTGCTCCCCAGCGAGGTGCAGGTGATTTAAAGCTCTCACCGCCGTGCAGGAGCGCTCCTAACATCCTCATCGCCTGTGAATTGTTGTTGTTGTCCTTCGGGCTCCCGTCTTTAAACGCTTCCTGTATCAGCAGCTGCTATGGCAAGTTTGCAAAACCACAGCTTTTGTCCCGCCTTTGCTGTTGCCGGTTTGCTCRGTACAAAGGCTCAACAATTGCAGTATAATTTACAAAACTTTTCCTTTTGCCTTCAGAGTTGAAAGAAATACCAAGTTTAAAAAACCCACACCATGCATAAACCGGTTTTATTTTGGRTTCTGCACTGACTTCCTGTCTTCATAGACATTTTCAGTGTGGTAATTTTGTCCTTGTTTATTAGTTGCAATGAGCACAGTAAAGTGAGATGCTGAGTATTAAAGTCCAGATTAAGGAAGTCATGATGAATATTCCTCTTTCAAAACACACAGGCAATTACTACGTTTTGATAAAGGCATTCCAGGAAAGAAAAATACTTGTTAATAGCYGTTTGAAAGATTGCAACAGATTTCTCTAGAGGTCTCCTTTTAGTCACCAGGAAAGAAATCCTAAATATAGAATGTTATAGACTTAATTGTRAGTGTTGGGATGACACCAATCTCAAGCATTTTAAATAATATGCCATTGGATTGCTTATAGCTGTAAAAAATACAGCTGTCTGTTAGACTGCCTTTTTGCAGTTGAAATGTTTTCCTTTTGTATAGAAATTATTTGAATTAATAGTCACTTCTCTACTTTGTTGCCCTTTTTATAAGGGGATGTCCCAAATATCAATGAATGCCCTCAAAGACATTTCAGGAAGAGGCTGACAGTGAATTGACAGGAGGTGTGTGTCAACATCAGTGACAAACTCAAACTTCCTGTAACTCGTTTGTTGGGGTTTTTTTTTCCTTTGAAGAACTCTGTGATGGCAATATTAAGTACAGACACTGTTTATCAATTAGAAGTCAACAGGTCTAAAAGTCTAGGTGTAAAATTAAAACGTAATCATGCAGCTGTAACTATAAATAAGAGCTAAAGTTTGTTTTTGTGGGTTTTTTTTTCTCTCCAGGCAGCAGATGAGCCTGCCTACCTGACAGTGGGGACTGATGTCAGTGCCAAGTACCGKGGTGCCTTCTGCGAGGCAAAGATTAAGACGGTGAAAAGGCTTGTGAAAGTCAAGGTAAGTGTGCTGAGACTGCTGCTGATTTCAGTAAAGCATTGTGCTGAAAGGGCTGTCACAGGAGATTCTAGTCCTGAAGATTAAAAAACTTTCATCACTTCACTGTATGAATTTTAAACAATGGAGTTTTGTCATATTCTGTTATTGGGTTTTTGGGGATTTCTTTTTTTGCTGTATTTTGGGGGAATGTTGTTTTTTTTATCATATTTTTTGGTAGGATGCTGGAACAAAAATGAGCTTTCTTGCTGCTTCTTTCCTGACTGCATTTGTCTTCTATTTTTGAATGCATCAGTTTCCCAGCAATAAGTTTTGATGTCACAAATAGAGGATTATGGCTTTACATKACTAATAAGGAATAAGAGCAGCCTCTTCAGAAGCAAAAGTTCCGTTTCATACCAACTGACACYCTCASTTTTGTAGTTTGGAACAGAAGAGGCAATGCCAAAAGAAATAAACAGCAAGAGAGATGGCACTAATTTGTTTCCTAAATCAGGTTTTAGCAATCCTTAGGGTATTATTTAAGTTTTGAGCATCTTCTAAAGCAGCGTGCCCTGGCTGTAGCTGAATTTCTATGCACGGAAAGTATTGGCACATGGTATTCATTCACATTTAMAGGCTTTTTGCCAAAGCAGCCAAAAGAGAAAGTTGTCATTTTGTTGTTGCAGTACTGTTGTAAATACCACTATGTCATAACAACAACAAAAAGTAGTTAAATGCAAGTTAAAATTGAAAGTAAATATACAAATTGTTCTGCTTTGTCTTGTCAAAATCTTCCCACTTYTACTTTACTGTCTGCTGTCCAAGATCTGTAAATAAAGCATTAGTGACCCAAAATCCCTAACAAATTGAGGTGAAAGCTGCTTTTTGTAACTACATATCCAGGCTTTTGTRTGCTTTAATGCTTAGATCACGTAGAACAAGCTGTCAGCCTCTTCAGTTACATATATAGATCATATCACTTTGTCAGAGTGCTTTTCRTCAATAGAAGAAATTGTGATTCAGATATTGGAGTCTTTTCCCTGTTCTTAATGAGTACTTAGRGAAACTTGTGGTGTTCTTTGAAATCTGTGTTAATGAGGAGCTCTGTAGGAAACGGCGTGCAGGTCTGACTGGCTTGATTTTGTCGGCATCTTTGGTCTGGTAGAGTATTTAGCCTGTTAATAGGTAGGAGTTGCTTTTTCTCATTAGAATCAGATGCTTTATTACTCCATGATAAGATTTGGAATTACATGAAGCTTCTGTGACTTGGTGGAAGTTCCTGTCGCTGGATCTCAATTATATTTTAACAATAGAAGTTTTAACAAGCTTAGCCTGATACTGTACTTAAGAGTATGTCGGCACACTCTGGCACACTTGCTAAGAGTCCAAAGAGTCCAAAACGTCCGGTAGCCTTCTCCTAGAGCAGCAGGACAACCTATATTCATCCCTCTGCAATTTTTATTTAAACTTTATGTCAGTGTAAAGTGCATTTTTAGCCTGAATGTATGTTAATACTGGGGCTGTTTTAGCATGCCACTTGTGTTTGTGAATACAGCCAGAAATCTGGATGTCATTATATGTCAAAGGAAGCTCCTGGAAATTTAGGTGTCTGAAAAAAAAATAGCAATTTTGAAATCTTTTTTCACTAAACTGCATGAGCTGATGATYACTCTTTCATTCACTAATTCCTTCTAGAATGTAGGATTTTAAAGGAAGAAGAGTTTACTTAYRCTGTAACTAATCCTTACTTTCATCACACTTGAAGGGTTTCACATCTTTGCCATAGAAACTTTCTCTTGCTCAAGACAGAAGAAATGCTGGTATTGCAATCAGTTTGGTGCTTTTCTGGTACATATTTAAGAAAGAGAGKTTTTTATTTTGGTTGTAGTTTAGTATGCAATGTATTGTCAATAAAATGCTGCAGTTGAAGTRGAGGGAAGAAAAAACCCACCTGTTWAATCTTCTCATCTGGAAGCCCAATTCCAGGTTTGCGCTGGATTGTGTCCAATGCTAAACTCACCCAAAAATGTATTTTCTTTGCTTTGGAATGGCAGGTGTTYTATTTGATCTGTTCTTTAATGATGGTGTTTCAGATTAAATATTAAGTGTGATGCTTGGGGCTTCCTGTCAGTAATACTGGCCATGCCAAGTGTTTTCTGTTCAGTAATATTTAAATCTGTTTAATGGATAATCCTAATGTGCATAGTAAATCTTAATATATCTATATATATATGTATACACTTTCTTATGCTTTTGTCTGCTGTTAAGAAATCAGATGCATATTAAAAAGTTTTCATATTAATATTTCTTTCATATTAATATTTCTTTCATATTAATATCTTTCAGGTGGTCTTGAAGGGGGATAACTCAACTCAGTTAGTGCAAGATGACCAAGTGAAAGGACCTCTAAGAGTATGTATATTGCATGCCTTCTTTTGGTAATCATATAATCAATTCCTAAAACTCWGAATTTTGGTGGTGTATAGGTGGKTACCTGTTCTTCRTGATTGAAATCAACAGAAGGGCGATCATCACGTTAGATGAGATGGATTGTGAGGAATKAGTCTTAATTTTTGTAGCTTTATGGGCTCTTYATGCTTCTCTGTGTAGTGTACTTGATACATAGTTTTGCCTGCACAGGGATTTTTGTATCTTCTCATAAGATGCAAAACTKCTTATAAATTATGAAATATTGAAACTTCTCAGAAGTAATTAAGAGCTGGAGCACAAATCCATGTTCAACCCCATTAGACAAGAGTAAGTATAATTGCTCTGTTTTAGAGTAGTTGATGTATTTTATATAAAATGTGCTTATTTGTATTTTCATTTTGTGTAACAGTTGTGCGCTAAAATGCAGAGCTGTGTTATAGGCACTGAATGCAAATAGAGCTCTTCAGAGAAGGTCATCCTTCTTGTATTTGTCTTTTTGCTGTAGCTCCWGCAGGAACACAAGGCTGCTGGAATTCTGATCTAGCTGACAGTAGAATTATGTTTAAAGTATGACAGTAGTAGTAGTTAAATGATTATCAATAATAAATTAATGGCTTTGTATTTTTTTTTCTACTGGCCTTCTATTCCTTGAGGTGATGAAGTCATACTGAATTTTGATGTTCTGAGTTTCTTAGTGCTTTAGTTTGTTATTGCAGTTCAGCCTTCCAGCTGAAGGACTTTTGTTCTTACCTGCTGAATAACTAAACTTTCAAAGCAGCATTTAGCTAAACTGCATCTTAAAAAATAAATCTGGCTTGCTGGAAGGATCAATGTGTTTTTCTCAATTTTCTGAGTGTGGACTTCCATGTAACCTCAAGCTGCTCCTTATTGCAGGTTGGAGCAATGGTTGAAACCAAAATGCCTGATGGATCCTTTCAGGAAGCTGTTATCAGCAAGCTGACGGATGCCAGTTGGTACACTGTAGGTGAGTGGCCATGTTTCATTTATGGTTGTTATCTYTGAACAATATATTTCTAATTATAGGTAACAGTGTCAGTAATTACATCTTGTATTGCATGATCTGAGACAGTTTTTGGAGAGGACTGTTTAAAGTCACCCACATCTTGATTCCTTTTCCATTTCAAATAGGGTAATAATTAATTAATGTTCAGGGAGGCTTTTGCATGGGTAATTGCAGGGCTGAATAATCGAGTTTTATTTGACACAATGTACCTATAATGATAGTGGTTGCGCTCACTGAAATTCAGAATAATTTTTGCAGATTTTAAGGCATAAACCTTGTAAAATTGTTCTTTTAGCTGAAAACCTATGGCATGAAATGAATGACTGAAATACGAGCCCCCTTGCACTATATGCAAGCTTGTACACAAAAAAAACATGGGTGGTATCAATAGAATGCGGAATATTTCGTTTTAAGACAAGAATTAACAAACCACACAATAAAAAGAAAAGAGGAGGCATTTATTTAYAATGTGAATAGCTGTTTCCTTTAATAAAATTTTCAAATAATGATCTGAGCTGAAATAGAAAACTACTTTTCTTCTCATGTTAGAGGCTCATGTGGTGTTCCCTTATTGAAATAGTTCAGAATGCAGGGTCAGTGAAATGTCAGTGTTGAACAAGAATTCATTGTAAGATAAATTTCCTTATTTTCAATAATTCTGATCTCCATTTTTTTTGTGAAACAGCATTAATAACAGAATGACAAAACTCAGCAACATTCAAGTAACAGTAGATAAGCAAATAATAGTAGATAAGCAAATAAAAAGGAACAGTATTTGAATCAGAGAGCTTTGCAGCACCCATCCTTTTTTTGCACAACTTTCTTACAGCAGTGGAGCTTTATATTCCCCAATAGTTACACAGAAGGAATATGCTCCTCYTAATTGTCCTGTACATGCTACTCTTGGGCTTTGCTTTGGAGATTACTACTTGTAAATTTAAACTCTGTGTTTCTCATTAGCTGCCTTGTGTACCAAATGTATTCAGCTTTACTTCATATTCTTCCMTCCTCTCTTGAGGAGTCCTCTATCCCATGAACTCTTAATTATTTTGGTTCATTAACCCCTGTTTAAGATTTAAATAAGCTATTTTCAGTAATTCAGCGTTTCCTTTGCAGTAGGTGAGGTTATGTCGTCTTTGGTGGGATCAGGATAAGACTCTGCAGATAATTTGGAAGGATTTATCACTTTCTGATTATTATTGTTAGTGAGGGCTTTAAGCTGGTTGACAAAGCTCACTGTTCTTTGCCTTTTTCTTCAGGATTATAACATTGCTGTAAAATTGTAGTGGATGTCAGRTCAGGGAGGAAAGGCAGGATTATTTGGGAGTGCAGAAGATTTAAAAATCTACTTACTTTAGTAGTATGATGTGACATACTTGAGGTAGAACACTGGACCTTTAACTTCTCTTTATAGATTTTCAGAGGTTCGCCATTCTGTTACAGAAGTGATAAGAAACACAATCTTGCACTAGCAATTTCATGGTTTATGAATTAGCATTTTGATTTCAAAACTCCTAACTTATTTCAGTTTTCAAGTAGCACTTTCAGCTAATTCTGTTTGAGTTTGGGCCAGAAGACATATTAGTCTTCTTACATTTGACATGTGAACTTTAAATCCCCTGTTTGGAGGATGAGTTTTGTCCAGGTTTTCTTTTTTTTATTTCTTTTTTATTTTCTTTTTTTTCCCTTTTCTTTTGAGCAGTGCACTTCTGCCAAAAAATCTTCACTTGATGAGCAGGAAATTTGAACAGTGAATAAATTCTTTGCCCTGTATTAATGGATTGTTGTTTATACTTAACAACTTGTTGAACTCTCCCCAATAATGTAAGAGATAAATCATGCATGCCATGATTTTAACTTCACACATTTGTTAAGGTGCAGTTAGTTCCTCAGAAACTCAAACCAGTGAATGAATTAATTATTGTCATTTTCTTTCCCCAAAAAATGTTTTTGACAGGCAGAATGGGGGAAATAAAATAAGTTTTCCATATGCAAATATGTTAAGACTGCTAGGATTTTGCAAAAATTTGGAGCTCCGGGGGGATTTAAGTAATCTTATGGTAAGTGAACATACAGTGCTGTAATATTGCATTTTGACTATGAAAATAGAATTATAACACATTGGATTTAAATTTTAGGAACRTTTTTGTTAGTTTTATGTGGAGGGYTGCTTGTTGATRTTGAAAGCACRGGTAACATTRACCAGAGTAAGCAGATGATCAAGTTTGTATCGTGGTTCTTTTGCAGTTAAAATCAGGGAGGTGTTCTAGGTCGAATACAGGAATACTGACGTGTGAAAAATAAGCCCTATCTTTTGCCTGCTGCTTCCATTGTGTCTTTGCAGAAAGTTTTGGATAGATATGAAGTTTGTATTTATGTTGCTGGTAAAGCAAACAGTTGAATTGGTTGCTTTTTAATAGATGGTGGGTGTGCTGCTTCACAGCCTTCCTGACTGATGCAGTCACAGCTGAAGAGCTGAGAGGGAAGTGGATTAAACAGATTTCAGGTTTACAGAGTAACCTGAAGGTTTTGAGATGGAAAGCACAAGGGAAATCTTGGATTTCAGTRGTTTGTGCTTTTTCCTTGCTATTTATTTTCTGTGTTATCTAACATCTCTTTCTCAGTGATCTAAAAGCAGACTGATCTCTGGCTAGTGAAACCAGTAATATATACAGACAAACATTTTTGAAGTAATAAGTACCAATATGTAAAAAAAAAATGCACCAAAGCGAACTGCTTGCATGTCTAGTGAGAAGTGATGATGCTCAATTTTGCATATCAGGTTCTCTGTTTCATGTGGGGATCTAAAGGAGCAAAGTCACCTGAAACAACTTTGCCTTGGTCAATAAATTGAACCAGTGGAAGTGCTGAGTTTGCTGTAATAGGCTACTTTGCCAGCACTATAATGCAAGAGCCACAGTGATAATCAGTCTGTATTTTAACAGTATCTCCTCTCTATTAATGGTGTTCATGCACCCCGAATAAACAAGGATTTATTTTTATTGTAGCTTCAACAGAATCACTTTTTCACTTCCTTTTATATAATCATGTTACTGTAGCCATGTAGACCTGTTAAACTTTTCAGCTGCAGTTTGGAAATACTTCTGAAATTACCTTTGAGACTCAGCTTTTCAGTATAAGCAGGTGCAGAAATAAAAGCTGTTTGGAGTGGAGTTTTAACAGTGTCTGGGAAATGCCATTGCTCAAGGCAGCCTCTCATATCAGAAGTGCTGTGACACTAATAGGGGTTTAAGTTCTTTGGTTAACAAATGGCACAGTTGGACCTGATGATCTTACTAAGTGATTCAATAATTTGATAATGTTTGTCTTTAGAATGCAGTTATCTAAACAGAACTTCYTTAATTTACAAATTACAAAGTGCTGGATTGATGCTTTTGAAGTGCTGAATATATTGTTAGGTGATAATTGCATAGAACTAAAATGGCCTGTCAGATCTGCTTTTAGCTGAACCAGGTTTGAATTACAGCTTACTGAGTRTACCATCCACCTGACTCTCTGTTAACTTATAAAATATTTTAGGTAAATACTGAAATAATGTCTGAAATTACTGAAAAACAAAGAAATCACCACCCAGACCACACTTCACAGTGGTGCATAGTTGTATTTTCCTTCTCTCACACTTTGCCTGGAGTCTTGCAAGCATTACCAGAACTTCAGAAAACAGAAATCCTTACATAGATGTTCTTTAAGGTAGCACTTCTGTATCACTTCTGCACAGAACTAGAAGTGATGTAATATCTGTATAAAAGTGAGAAACAGTATTTMATTTGAGGAAGCATTCAAGAATTGCTGTTAGAATGGCTTGGTTTATACTGCCCCATGTCATCTCTTATTTGACAAAACTCAGGTCAGTAATMTCTATGTGCTCAGTTCTCTTTTTATTATGTAATAATTTCTAAAACTTTAAAAACAAGATTAAACAAAAAGAGATGAAGTACATTGAGCCTTGTATGTTGGTAGGTAAAATAATGGACAAGTGTTTCTTAAGAAAGAAATAAAAAACATRTATTAACTTCCAGTAATGTTTCCTCTGAAATGAGTAGGAAATAGGGGAGAAAAAACCAAAACACTGAGAGRCCTTCYCAGTTTTTAGCAGACCTTCCTGTCAGTATTAGGGTTTTATGAACTCTTGAGAGTGAAAAGGAATATGATTCCTTATTTTTTGAGACTTAAGACTTCTAGATGTACTTCTGAGGCACCTCTGTGAGCTCCACAGCTCTGCTGGTGGCTTCTTCCTCTCATATAATCATGATGGCAGTTTCCAGGAAATGCTGAGTGTGTGCTGAGAGGAGTTAGAGACCTGAGTTCTTGTTCTGGGAATAAGTGTAGTCTCAGCCATCAACTGCATCAGTTCAGTTTACTGTATTTAGGTTACAGAAATTAAMGATACTGAGATTTGGTTTTAGTCATGTTTCATGTTGCATGGATTTTGAAAATTCCAGCTCGTAATTCTGAGGATATTTATCAGCAAATGAGCCAGCATTTATGTCCTGGGACTTCAGGAGCGGGCTTGCTAACAGGAGCTATTTATAGCCACATTTTCCTGTTTTTAATAGAAGTTTGCCTCTAGTGATGCTTTTGCTTAAAAGAAAGGTAGGTTTGGTTCTGGGTACAGAACAACTGTAAGTTCTTACTCCAAGGGGTGAGGGAAGTTCTCAGTGCCCCCACATCCAGCTGAGTCCATCCATGCCAGAGCTCTGTTGGTTTGTCCCTTCAGCCCTTGACCAGCACACRTCCTGTGGTGTGTGCCAGGCACTGGTCATGTCTGTGGGGCTGGTTTGACCAGTTCCCAGCATCCTGTTGAGCTCCACGTGGCAGAAGCATCATCTCTGGGCTGTGCTGTGTCATCCAGGAATCCAAAACCACAGGTGTGGCAGGGGAACTGTCCTGTTGCCTCCACGAGTGGTCTCTGCTACCATGACCCACCATGAATTTGTTGT